ACAAGAATTCTCAAAAACTAAGCAATTTTATACAAAAAGACCTTTACAAAATAATTGCTACCACAGAATTAGCAACTACACTAAGTATCACAAAAAGCAGAGTAAGAGGATTAAACTCTTTCATCGCAAAGACACTACTAAGCCAATTCGGGGTCCTTGAAACTATATACGATTGAAGACGACCGTTCGTAGTAACACTTTTGACAATGAAACTAGCTCCTCCATGTGCTGATGCTTCTTGAAAGATCAATCTCTACTCTAGAATCAGTTTCAAAGTATCCACAATAAGTTCCCTTTCAAATCTATAAGATGGCCAAGCTTTTGGTCTTAAAATGGCACCTTTCAAATTCGAGTCTTCTAAAGCAAATAATACATGGTTCATCATGTGGCCACACATACTGTCTATTGCCCAAAGAAGAGTCACCAATTTTGCATCATGTCTTAACTTGATATTAGATAAAGCCCTTCTGCTGTGAAGGAGGTTAAGAGGGGTGTTCATATCAACCGAATCAAATTAAGGTTAAATGAGGTGCACATTTTATTGTTTCTCGGCCTAGAGCTAGAAATTATAAATTAATACCAATTAAGAAGAGTTTCGCCGAGGAAGAAAGCCAGACTAGCACATATCAAAGAAGACCGGACGAGCACATATCTAATCTTTTTGAGATGAAATTTACGGATAAAACTAGAAAATCGAGAAACAAAACTTTAGTTGAAGAAAAAATAGATTTTCGTGTTCGATTGCCATTTGGATCGAATTCAAAAATATGAGATTCGCGATAAATATTAGAAAATAGCTTTTTCTTCGTTTATAGGACAAAACGTAGTTTTCCATAATAAAAAGTACTTAAATCTGTAAACACTGAAAATTAATAGTTCGAACAACGACAGGAAAAAAAAAAAAGGTTTTTCCTAATTATTTCGTCATCAGTTACTCGTTTACTCTTCTTTTCCGAAGGTTTTATTAACCAACCAATAAAGCTTTTTATTTTCTTCTTTTTTTTTCCCTCACATTTGCTTTTTGTCTTTATACAGAATAAAATACTATCTTTTTTACGTCCTAAAAGTCTTACCACATTTATTAGGCTTCCTTGTGTATTTTATTGATGTGCAAGGAATCATCAACAAATATCAATACGTGTAAATACGCACGTGTTTTTCGTGTTGATATGTATATGGAGAACTTATTCCCACTCGGAAACAACAAGCCAACAAGGATCAAGAAAAAGTCTCTAAAGCCTCCTCCCGTCCATCACTCCATCTAACAACCTCATTACTTTTCAAAGAAATATATAAAAGTTATACTTTATAATCTTTTAAGTACTATTATCTGTAACTTTGTAAATTTTATAACTTTTTTAAATTTGACAAAAGATTATAGTGATACACGAAAAGAGAAAAAGACCAAAATCTATGAAATAAGAAATTTACAACAACAAAAACTGTAAACACAGCTCTAAATTAACAGTCGTTTTATCAATCATCAAACCTATTGCAGGCTGAAACTATTATCATGCCTAAAACAAACAGAAAAATTTAAGCGTACTAGAAAACAAAACTGGAAGAAAAATCTAAAAAATAGAACATATAAGACTCAAACTATGCATCTCAAGGTTAATGAATTGCATGATTACAACATCAAACCTATAACATATATTAACAAGGATAATAAGAACAGTTGATTATCATTGTAGAACTTTATCGAATATGATTTGAAACAATAAATGATAAAACTTTATTGGATATATCAACTTAAGTTGTATTTTAAGTACTAGTATGTGGTGTTACTTTAGATGGGTATATCCAATTTTCTAAACTATTTAATAATTATGTGGCATATTGTCATTAGTTGACAGATAACTACTACAATTGTTTCCTCCTTTTGTTAAAGCACTTGTTTTCTTTAAATTGTAATAATTGAGAAACTGTTATATCCAATTTTATTCGTCCAACAATCAAACCTAATTTTTTTCAAAAGGAAAAATCACATCTAAATTAATATAATAATCATTAATGGAAATTAGGTTCACTATATCTTTGAGAATTGTAAGTAAAACCCTTTTGTGTAGTACCTAAACTTAGCTAGAGGTAATGGAATTTTTATCCAAATATTTGGATCTTTTTTTAATTCGAGTTATCCAAATGTTTTCACACCGTATGACCATTTTAAATTGAAGGTGATTAATTAGAAAATTGATTTCTTCTTTACATATTGCTAAATTAAATATCTTTAGTATGCAACTTATGAAAGTTTCCATAATGCCATTGCCATTCGATTTTCCAGTGCTACAAAAACATATCTCGCCCCATTTTTCTGCAATAAATTAGATTAATGGTGGATATGATATCGAGGGATATGTTGCAGAAGAAGTTATGATGCCATGTGGATGTCGACATTTTTTTTTATTACCATAAGTATTATATATATTTTGTTAGAAGAAAGTATTATATATACTAGTTGTTATAAAATATGAAATCTGTGAAAGCAATATGCTCATAAACACATAATTTATTTGGAATAACCATATCAATTATAATTTTGTAATTCCTTTCCACACAAAAAAAAAAAACAAAAAATATTTAGTACACATAATATTTAATCAATTAACAAAGAAGTACTAAAACATTTTTAAAACTGACTAAGTGAATAAATAAGTATGTTGGAGTTTTTGTTGATATTGTCTTTTTCTTCCACCTCAAACATTAATATTTAATTAAATATCTTCATTTAGAAAATCGAAACACACCAAAGAAATATATATACTTCTTATATATGTGTTTTTGATGTTCATAATTAGGTCCCTTCTCACAAAAAAAAAAAAATGAAGTCATTCAGTTTTTTTTAACAGTACCAAAAATATCAATATTTAAATTGTTAATTAAAAAAAAAAAAAGACCCCATCGTACTTTTACCCTTGTCTTTAGTAATCTTGGACCCAATTGTTTCTTCTTCACAAGCAATTTTATAAGAAAATGTGGACTCGCTTTGCTCATCTTCCCTTTGAAAACAAACCCAAAAAGGAAATATATATGTATATATGCGGTTGGAGCTAGGGTTGCATAGCAAGATGTGTTCAAACCCAAAAATGCAAGGGTCTCAATTTGAGTTTGTATTTTTCCGTAAGCAGATCTGGAACTTGCTCTCCAACGCAAATTTGGAACGTTAGGATAAACGCTAATGTATGCGGCATGGAAAGCTGTTGGAATATTCTTTCCGTAGTATTGCGTACTACAATAACAATTATATGTTTATGTGTGTACATGTCTATCGTCTCGATATATTTGATAATAAAGATTTGGTACGTACCTCTTGAATTGAAGTCATAACAGTACCTTTTAAAAAGGTCAGTAGAAATATAAAATGGAGATTTTGTTAGAAAATTTTGGATACGAAATCTGGATAACATATAATATATAATTTTTTTTTTTAATGATATAAAGTGAGACAAATGTGTATCTATGGTTACACAGACCTTCCGGTTGGTGGTGCGGTGTGGACGGGATATGCCGCCGAAAATATCATAAATCCAGCTGACGACGACCAATCTTTTATCATATATATAACATTATTACATATTATCATTAACACACTATTTCGTCAATGAGTTTGGATAGGACCAATCATTTTCATTTTATTATTGTCGTCCTAATCAAACTCACTATTAAGGGGCCTTCCAGTTTTGTCTTCTTCCTACGTCATAATTCCAATATTTGGGAACTAACCATATATATTATAAGAAAAAAGTTTAGCTTTTAGGTATGAAAATTGTTAGTGTTTATTGGTTAGCCACTGGATCAGTAATATTTGAATTCTTCATATAATCTAAAAAAAAATTTACTTATCATTATAGAATAGTTTTTTTAGTTTATCATATGTTGAATTTCCTAAAAGCGATCGATAGGTTACAGTAATTCGTTAAATATATCTAGACGATAAACATGTACCTACATAATTAAGATTGGTGTTAGGTTTATGTGACCTTCTAGGCATTTTGGTTTTTGGACCTGACGAAGACAAAACAATACTCCATAGAACACTTTTGGTTTTCACATTTGTTTGACCTTCGTGAAACGGGTTTTCAATAGAATAGGAAAATCCCACGTTTTCAATTCAATTAAATAAGTTGTCATTGTTCGCCTGTTTTTAAGGAATTCCCACTATAACTAGGAGACAGGAGTAATACTTTTGCTTTTCACTTTTTTCCTTAAGATGTGAACTAAATCATGGCGAGTTGAAATTAATTACTTATAAAATTGAGGTCTAGCCCACGTTTTTCAATTCAATTAAATGATTATTTTGTTTGGATTCAATTGCTATAGTTTCTAGAAAGCTATATATATAATATACGTATTTAAACTTGATTTTTTTTTTTTTTTTTTTTTTTTTTTTTTTTTTTTTTTTTTTTTTTATATCTTTGGATCGACAAGGCCCGATCCATAGCCAATCCCTACTACGCGGAGTAACGCGATTTAGTGGAGTCGAACTCCGGTGGGGAAAGCGGAGTCAAGTATACTTAACCACTTGACTAAAGGCACATCCCCACGTATTTAAACTTGATTATAAACTTGATTATATATATTTTAAACTGAAGTTAGGGTTGACGATTTTTTGGTTAGAGTTTGATTTTATATACATCTACAATGATATAATCTTCCTAAATTTCATTGAAGGCATTTTCGTAATCTTCCCTAGCTACCTTGTTTTCTTTTTGCTTTAATGCCTTCATCTTCCCTACCATGTTACCAAAACTTGCAATGATTTATGCCGGTGCGACAAAACGCGCAAAAGCAATTTAAAAGGATAAAAATTGTGCATTTTTCCCATTTAGAAATCCATCTTCTCATTCTACAGTATGAATTATTGGTTGTAGCCTTGTACCCTTTTAGATATATGGGTTTGAAAAAACAAAGGTTATTTTAGTATTACTAAACCATTTTAACATCAATTATCGTATAAATACCGTAGTGACTAGATGTGTTTAATTGACAGAAAAAACTGATCAAACTTATTAAGAAACACACCGTACATTTATTAAACTAACGAAATGCTTTACATCGCAGGAAATATATATCCAAACTTACAACTGCGAAAAAACACTTTCATGGAGAGGAAGAGTAGACTTAAACAACATAAGAACAAGGATCTTTTAATGACTTAAGAACCTCCATACAACAAGCTTATCAACTTTTAAAAAACCACTTTCATGGAAAACCCGATTTTGGATTCTTCGGATAGAGAAATTGATGATGAATGTGCATATGTATGAAACGTGAAACCAATTAAGTGAGCTTTGATAAGCCACAACTCAAGTTCTTCACAACATCATCGATTTTCATATCAAAATTGTTATTCTTCTGCAAAAGAATCAACAATATACAATTAGATTTTTCGAGTAATCAAAATATCGAATATTTAAGATAATATGCATTATCTATAGAACTGATTCCTTTTTTCACACAATATACATGTTCAATGCATATCTATTACAAGTTATTTTGTAGCTTGTATGAGAATATAGTTACCTGAGCGATAATAGAGATGTCAAAAGCGGGTCCAAAGGGCAAGACATTGCTGTTGGTGATAGACAAACCAAGCTTCTCAATTTCCCCCATAATCTTGATCACATTACCCTTTTGCTTCTCGCATAGGATCTTAATAAGAACATCTTTTCCCGAAACCCTAACTTCTATCTCTGGAAGATTTGAACTCGAGAAGTCGCGATTTGAGGAGGATGATGATGATTGATGATTTTCGTCTAAAACTAGCTGAGACTTCTTTACAACAACCATTGTTTTTTCCTTCTTTTGTTCCTCATACTCTTTCACACTCTCTTGGAGGTACTTTATATGCTTTATTGCATCTCCCAACACAGAAGCCTTGTCCATCTATAGTCACATATATGCATATTTCAATATATAGCATGTAAATATATTAATATCTAATCAAAATGAATATCCATCAAGCTGAAACTGCAAATGATTTGTATATATAAAAATCATAATTCTTATATATATATGGAGGATTTTTAGTAAATTTCGAGTTTCACAAAGTCCGTCCTGATCAAAGAATTTAGTCTCATGACCGGGAGATCCGAAGTCAAAACTCAAATAAATTTTCATTGTTGGTATAAGAAAAGAGAGAATATACTATACTGTCCATGAAAATTGGTTTCTTGCCTAGCAAAATACAAAGATTTAAGAAAAGACTACTATCGTTTGGTTGATATGAGCCTCGTTATTAAACAAGAAGAAGAAGAGATTTCCTTTTACATATGTGTACCTTCTTTAGGCCAGGAACTAGGGCTGAAAGAGCTACAAATCTTTGAGTAAGCTTCTCTCTCCGTTTTCTCTCTGCGAGTATGTGATCTTGAGCATTTGATTGGCTTCGAGTCAAGGGTTGCGCCCTCTTTGTCCCTCTTATTATCAGCTCGGTTTTTTTCTGGTTTGGTAATCCAATTTCTTCTTCCTTGGTGCTAAATATTAAGTTTGGAGAGTTGTGATTCATTACATTTAAACCCGTCTTTTCGAAAGAAATAATCGTAGAAGAGGGCTGGTCCTTTGGAGGAGGAGGATTGGAAGAAGAAAAAGGATGTAACTTTGGCGATATGAGAGTGGTCTTGAGGATCTTTGAAGGTTTCTCTTCGACCAAATCATCATTATAAGAAGCATCAAAGTTATAACAAGTGGTGGTATCATCAAGAGATGAGAGAGACTGTGGAACATCTCCGACGAGTGAATTCATGTGGTATTGGATGATACTATAGTCTTCTATATCCTACACGAAAAGCATATAATAAAGATTCATGAAATTTGCCAAAAAAAAAGTAGGTTAAAAGAACATGAATATAGATTTTATATATATACAAAATCATAAGAGGAAAGAGAGGCACACATAAATATGTATGTATGTGTGTATAGAAATATACCAATTCGGAGGACCATTTGGTAGAGAAAACGTTCATCGTTGTGGCCATGATTGCTAGCTTCTTAGTTAAAAATCTGAAAAATTGGTAATCATATGAGGCAACTATTAACCCAAGAAAATGAAATCATATGACATTAGTATTTCTTGAATTCCAAAAGCTTTTCCCAAAATATTTACAAGAATTTGAGAAATTTAAGCAGTCAAAGAAAAATGAAGTTGAAGTTTACCTTCTAGAGAGAGAGAGAGTGAGAGAGAGAGCGAGAGATTTAGATTTGGACTTGGTAATGGCTAAACACGATTATATTCTTATACATAAATACGACTCAAGTTTATGCGTAGGCGTGAAAGGATCAAATACTATTAGATATTGGTTGGTAATATTAATAAAAAATAACATACATTAGACTGATTGATACTGATAATACTCTCTCGAAGTTCTTGATGCCAATGTGTATCTATTACTAAATATGAATATTTAGGATCGAATATATAGTGATAATTGTTCTTTTTTTTTTAAGAATTTAAATAATATATTCCTTGGAAATATTTGTCATTTGAAAATCTCTCAGAAATATGGTTCTTTTGGAAATTCTTTGGACATATTTTGTCCCTTGGAAATACCTCAACAATATAGTTTCTTTTGAAATTTCTCAAAAATATTTTCCATTGGAAATCTCTTGAAAATTATTCGGAATATTTGTTCCTCGGAAATTTTTGAAGAATTTCTGACATATATGGATTTTCGACCACTTCAAACCGACGACAATAATTTCTTAGAAATTCGTCTGAAAAGCCATTTTCTGAGAGTTTACTGACGGATTCAGTCCTAGGAAATAAGCTATTTTCTTGTAGTGTAAAAGCTAGTTATAATATATATATTTTTTACTTAGATTAACAAGAAAAATCACTTTTAAATATCTGATTTTACAAGACAAATAGAAATATTATATATACACAAATAGAAATCTATACTATTAATTAGGAAGCACTCAAACATAAATAATCTTATAAAATGTAAAGTATTACAAAAATGCCATTGGTTTTAGTTTTTAAATAAATTCATTAAAGATACAATAGTAATCACAAAATAATATATTTAAATAAAAAATAATAAAATTCCTTAAAGTAATTATTATTTTCCAAAAAATTAAACTCACTTTCTCTCTCTTATTAATTATGGACGAAAATTTAAATTTTTTTTCTAAAAGTTGTTAACCAATGAGAATTGAAAAACTAAGATTTGATATTCTAACTAAAATTTTATCTAAACCAATCCTAATAAACTATTCTATATCAAAAATAAAAAGAAAAATAATACCATTTTAATTCAAAATTAAAAACACTATAGTTTAAAAAATTTTATCAATGGAGAATTTTAAGATTGAATTTGAAATTTCGTAAAAAAATTAAATACAAATATTTAAGACTCAGTTTTGTTATAATATTTTCACAAATTTTGAAATATAAAACAAAATTTTATTTCACAATTTCTAAAAAAATGATATTGGGCATTCATATAGAGCAAGTTTCAGAAAGATCTAAACAATAGATTGTACATATTAATTTCGAAATATTTTGTGTTTTCTTTTTTTTCTTCTCAACCGGATCTTCTTTACACCAATCCATAATACACCAATCCATAATAACACTGGATTTTAATGAATTATTTAAAATCATAGTTGAATAACACCAAACTTTTAAATCTAATGAAGTATAAAATCCAATAACACCAGATTTTAAAGTTAGATTTGGAATCATTAGTTGAATAACACTGGATTAGTGTTGGATTTAAATTCTATTAAAATCCATCATTGAATAACACCACCTAAAAATCAAAACCCAACTGGTATGAGTTCGGTTTATGAGCACTATATAAAATAAATTTGTTTACACATAACCATGTACATATGTTTTCAGTTACACATACTCTATTTATGACAGATATGGGACCGTAATATTTTTATTTTACATGTACGTGACAGGTTATGGAACAAAGAATTTATGACAGATACCGGACATGATATATTTTCTGTTCCAAAATAGTTACGCCTTGCTAATATACATGAAATAACCCAAACTAAAACCGAATTCATATCCTATTTAACATATGTAATCAAACTGTTAGAAATGTTTTGATTAGTTAAGAAAATAAAAATGTAGCACCATTTAACTTTTGCAACTAAATTAGTCCGGATCTTAAAATATAATTATGCATTAACGCAACTGAATTTTTTGTTCATTACTCTAACTTTATAATATTATGAAGTTCACTAATACAACAAAATATTTTATATTTTTAAAATCCATATAACAATTTCTATAAAAATATTTCTACACGTACGTGGATCCAGATCTAATACACTAAAATATACTCCCTCCGTTTCACAAAGTGTCATTTTGACACATTTCACACAAATTAAGAAAACTTTAGATTATACATGTATTTTTTTGAATAAAATGTTAAATTATATAGATTATACATGTATGCCCCTATTTAATAAGTGATTAATGATTTAAATTCAATAAAAAGTAGCTTTGGGTTGATGGTAAATCAGGAAACTTAATGTAAAAGTTACATTAAAAATGTAAAATGACACTTTTTGTGAAACAAAAATAAAACTCTAGAATGACACTCTTTGTGAAACAGAGAATATATCATAAAACAACATAATAATCTATATTGAATTAAATTTTGTTAAAAAAAATTTAAAATATGAAACCCCGCACGTACGTGCGGGGTCATGATCTAGTATAATATAAAAGAAAGGAAAAAAAGAGTAAGAGTCGGATCGTAATAAAGAGGGACGAAGGATCCTCAGAGGGCTTGAGGAGAGCTAGATTCCACAAGAGATACATCAATTGATCAACTAGTTAAAAAATAATCTATCTCCATTTTGATAAGATAATATTCCCTTCTTTGGTCGAATACTAATATTAATGTAGGGTTAAGAAAAGATTACGAAATCTTCAAGAAGACCTAATAATATCATCTTCTTAAATCTTCTCTATATATTGCCAACAAGAATGTATTCAAAATTTCAAACAACTAATTAAATCTTGTTCATTTTTAACAACGCTCGCTAATTCATTATCAGAAAATAAACAAAGTATTTGCATTCATCCGCAATATATGGTGGGTTCAATCATTGTCATATATATAGAAAAATGTCTTTTTGTTCATTACTTTTTTCTCTGTTGTAAGTATTGCACCAACCCAAGATCTTCCCTTGATTTTTTTTTGTATTTTATATAGTATTGGACTATTGGTTATGACATTTTTATTTTTTGTTAAAACATTAACACTATGGTTAATTATAGGTTTGTAAACTCAATTTCCGTTCGACAAATAGTTGGCTATTCTATCACTACATAGAAATCATCACTAGACTTTTCAGTATATCGCTCATTCTATTTTACTTTTTACCATACATTGGTAATACTAACATAGAACAAGTTTATTGCAATGAGTTACACTAAGAATATATAATTGAAATATATACCCTTTAATTAGATACATCCTCTTTGCAAAATTTAGCTCTTAAGAAATAAAGTGCTTGTGAATATTTATTTAGAGAGACACATCTGACTCTTTTGAGGGTCTAGTGTCTTGCGCAACCGTGGTAATCTAGGTTAAGAAAACTCATTAATTTCTTTAAATTTAGGCATAAAGTTTTGCTTGGAAGTGTTGAAATAGTCAACCTTTCAAAATAAAAAGCACGTGGGTTAATGTAATAATCTATTTCAGAAATGACAGGCAAGAGACAACTAATCTCTTGATCCCTCTATTACCTCGCCCCATGATAGAAGCATCAAGCATCTTGAAATCATTATATATATACACATGCACATGATTAGGGTATAATTATAAGAACTTTTTCATTGTTCAAGATTCAAGAATCAAGATGCAATTCTCTATAGTGAAAAATAGTTTGATGGATCCGTATATCCAGTGTAACGTGAGAAATTGTTATTTGCTATTTTCAATTCTCATCTATATAAACTAAACATGTGTTACTTTATACATATTGGTGCATAATTAATATTTTCTATAGCGGTCACTAAACATTTTGTCATAGGAGTAAATTTTGGAAAGTCAAACACTAATTTGATAATGAAAAAAAACAAATACAAGTAGACAAAGAAACTCTTTATTATAAGCTTTCTGCCATTGGTTACGTTTTAAGGGTATATGATTAGTTTATTATCAGTATATTATTATTGTTATTATGCATGTCAGGATGTGTTGGTTGATGGATTTAGGGTCAAGTGGCCCTATTATAACTGGATTTGCTTTTGATATGATCGTACTGTTTCGTCTTAACTCTCAGGTCTTGACATAACAACGTCAAAAATAGTCTTGATAGTTTCAAACCTCAAGTATTGTAAAATGATATTTGATGTTTAAGCTCTTGACAACCAAACGTATTAACCTCAATAACCTCTTTATTAGTTTAAGAAAATCTCTCAAAACTTAAACTCTCTCACAATCTTATGCCATTACTCGACATCTCTATTTATACAAGAAGTACAAATCCTAATTCTATAAGGACTCATAATATATTGGATAACTCCCAATATATTTAACTTTATCTCTTAACAACCTTATCTCTTAATAACCATAACTCGGTTTAGGATTACTTCTTCTCCAAGATATCTTCAAGCTTAACCAACATTCTCCCTCCTAAGCTTGAAGTCACTTCCACTCATATCTCTTACACCAATAAGTTCACGCATCTCCTTGAACTTGATCCTCCCAAGCGCCTTAGTCAAAATATCGGCCTTTTGCTCATCACCAGGTACATGCTCGACTTCCACTAATCCATTCTCCACGCACTCTCTTATGAAATGGTACCGTTTGTGAATGTGTTTGCTTCGACCGTGAAACACCGGATTTTTCGTAAGAGCAATTGCCGATTGATTGTCTATTCGAATGATGACCTTCTCACATGTTGACTCCATGATTTCACTAAGCAAGTCTTGAAGCCATATCGCCTGTCTTGCTGCCTCCGTAGCTGCCATAAATTCAGCTTCACATGACGAAAGTGCCACAGTTTCTTGCTTGTGAGAGCACCAAGAGATCAAGCTCCCACAAAGATAGAACACATGTCCAGTCGTGCTCTTTCCATCATCCGGATCTTCATTATGACT